ACTGAAGTCGAAATGGTCAAAAACGTGACGCATTCATTGTCATCGCAATGTGGCAATCCATTACTCGGTAATTTACCACGTTTTTCATCACATTTGATCGGCAACAACTGAATGACGTTATCAATTCATTGATCTTTCCTAAATGTATTAATATAAGGTGAATTCATGCAATGCACAGGTGCTGTCGTGTTTGATGACAAATTTGCAAATGATCCATTGAACTGCAATGAGATTGCGTATGCAATTCGTTTGTCCAATACGAAGCGTCGATATAGCAGTGGATTAGGTATGGGATTTGAGCCGTGGGACACAACACTTAATTTTGCTATTCAGTTCATTTCTGGACCAGTCAATGGCGAAGAACCGGATGGAGGTGATCCAGGTTTGTCTCTTCGACTTGTCTTGTTTCACTTATATCTCGTATTACACAGGTTCATACGGAATTTACGATAAGATAAGTCGTTGATCGCTTTGTACAAATGTGTGCTTTCATTCGAAAGGTATGAAAACTTTATGGACTGATTTTGTGGCCATAATTTTATTCGCTAACGCAATCTCCTCTTGTACCATCAAAGCAGGTTGGACTTAATACAGATTCGAGTTGATGCAATATGACATTAGCAATTATCAAAGCAGTTTCACTGAAATGTTTACCCAAAATACTTCTCTACTGTTTACTAGGATATTGGCAAGAAGGATTTTTAACTCTACAACGAGCGATCGATGTTGCCATCCAGGAATATCTCACCAATAGACCAGCCACGGGATTGGATCAGCTTAACGTTAAGGTGTGACGAACATCCGATTCCAAAATACATTGCGACAATAAGCATTGACCTCCGAAACCTAATTGAATCTTAACATTTACGTGCTTTTCATTTCACTGGAAATTTTTTGCTTTGAATTCATTTTTCGAATCTTCAGTTACAACGTTTCCCGTTCCCGCGATATGAAAAGCGAATAATTGAAATTGGCATCTTCATTATACCGGTCGTTCTGATCTTCTCTTATATGACTAGTGTGATCTATATCGTTCGAACCGTGGTTATGGAGAAAGAAAAGCATCTGAAGGCATGAATTCCTAAACTTATTCTTTGCTATGCGATCTGGTTTGTACAGCTAAATGAAGCATTTATTAATAAACCGACTAAGGTTATTTGAGGAATTTGTTGAAATCAGCATTCGAAAAGACTACCTAACAATATTTTTGTAACTGTTTGACGCTGTTTTTTATTGAAAAGTTGATGCAGCTTTATTGCAAAATTTAGAATTGCGCAGATCACTGAGCGTTATTCGTGGCATTCACTCATTTCCTCGTCATAAACATTGAATTTTTCATAATTTTAAGTTTTTCATCTAGTAACGACATAATTTTATAGATGGAAAATGTGTAGGTGGCAGGAGTAGAACTCAGCACCCCATAAAATTTTCAGTGAGATTTATCTGAATTTTGTTCACCAACAGTGTTCGTGTTTTGAGGAATACATGAAAGCGATGGGTCTGTCGCAGTGGGTGCATTGGATCGCGTTTTTTATCGTCAACTTTACGAAATTACTCTTCTCAGTTGTCAT